TATATATATATATATATATATATATATATATATATATATATATATATATATATATATATATAGGATATATCTCGTTATACAGTTTGAGATCACATTTATCTCGTATTTGGTTATTGTTCTTAGCTAAAATTGATATAAGTTCATATAAAAAATGATAGTAGTATTTATTTTAGGATATCTTTTTCCAAACCAAACGACCCCTTATAATGTATAACAAAGTTTTTACGTCAACGGTGTTATGTAATTAGTTATAACATGTTATTTATTATTTGTTCTAAATTAGCAATTAATTTTATTAAACAAAATTATCTTCTAGGAGTATAACCATGCTTGCACTGCGTCTATTACTCAAAAGGTCACTGAACTATCTCATATTTTCTTCTAAAGTCACTTTTCTTTCGTTTGTAACAACAAAGTCACTGAACTATGTATACTGCACTCAGAAGGTCACTCAACTAGATTTTCCAAATTTTGGATTGCCAAATACCTATTTTACCCTCTAAATTATAAACGTTTATCTTCTTTTTATTATTTTTAAACTTTTTAATATTATGATTTTTCCTTTTTAACTTATATTACGGACTTACCTATAGAATAAATAAATATTATTTACAAATTAAAAAAATAAAAAATATTTAAGCATTTAATGCTAGAATAATAAAATAATGAGTATAGTAAAAAAATTAATTAGAATAATTTGTTAGTAATAATAATTTTATTATTAACAACAAAAATTCAAAACTTTATTTACACAATTCAGAATGAAAGAAAATAAAGGTTGTAACATATATATTCTATGCATGTAATATAAAAATAATTATTAAATAAAGGTATTTTATAATATACATTATATATTCTTGAAAATTATGCTCAATTATGTTATACATATCCCGTGCACGACTTAACATAGCATATTTTATCCTATACAGATAGTCCCCCTGCTTTCCGGTGACATAACTTTGATTGAGTATAATTTTCAATAATATATTATGTATATTGTAAAAATACCCTTATTTGAATAATTATTTTATATTACGTGCATGGAATACATATTTTACACCTTTATTTTCTTTCATTCTGAATTGTGTAAACAAATTTTGAATTTTTGTTGTTAATACTATAATTATTATTACTAACAAATTATTCTAATTAATTTTTTTTACCATGCTCATTATTTATTATTCCAGCATATATATGCTTAAATACTTTTTAGTTTTTAATTTATATATAATATTTATTTATTCATAGGTAAGTCTGTAATATAAATTAAAAAGGGAAAATTACAATATTAAAAGTTTAAAAATAATAAAAAGAAGATAAATTTTTATAATCTAAAGGGTAAAATAGGTATTTGGCAATCTAAAATTTGGAAAATCTTGTTGAGTGACCTTCTGAGTGCAATAAGCATAGTTCAGTGACTTTGTTGCTACAAACGAAAGAAAAGTGACTTTAGGAGATAATTTGGGATAGTTCAATGACCATTTGAGTAATGGACTCTGCTTGCACTAATGGAATGGTTGCTTAATTTTTAAGCCATTATTATTATTATTATTATTATTTTGTATAAATATCATATACAAATCTATATTTGCTAAAGTAAGGGGTTCGTGCACTTCACATCTACAATATAAAAAATAGAAACACATAAATTAATTGCTTTGACTCATAATTAATTTGAAGGGTTTTTTATAAAAAGAATCATTTTCATGTATTTTATTTTGTGATTGTACGAGGACCTTGATATCACGTCGTAATTTGAAAGCTCTTTATAGTTTCATAATTTAATTACTTTGTGATTTGACGTCGAAGATCTCAATTACTCGACACGTCAAAGTAAGTTTCTCATTAATTTCTTCTTAAGATCACTTTTCCCTTTTCTTTTGATAATTTGAGAACATCCTGTAAACAAGTTAAAGACCTTGATATCATGTTGCAATTAAAAAGTTTTAAAAATCCATTTTCATGTATTAATTTACTTAGTGATTAGAAGAAACCTCAACATCATAAAATATCTAGCTAATTAAACTGAGAAACAATTTCTTCTTCTAATATTTTAAAGTACTTTTCCCCTTATTTTTAATTATTAGAGTCGTCAGTAAACAATCTTAAGATTTGATATCATGTCATTTAAAAATTTCATTATCATTTTCATGTATTAATTTACTTTATTCATTAGACGAAGACTTCAATATCATCGAAGATGGGTGGAACTAGAAGGTAAAGCTACAACAAGTTCTATTGAAATCAGTAATTTTAGTCCAAATTGTATTAATTTTTTTACTAAGTATGCATAAACCTTAAATTTAGAATCCAATTACTAATACATAATAAAATTTAGAACCCATAATATTTAATCCTGGCTTCTCTTCTATCATAAAATAGGCCAATATATATGCTTTCCATTAAATTCTTAGTAGCGTTCGGATATGAAAATTGTGATTTTTGAAAAAATTAGTATTTGGAATTAAGTTGAAAAATGGTATTTGAAATTTGATGTTATGTTTGAATATTTATTTCACATGAAAAAATATAGTAGTTTTGTGAGTGAAAAAAAAAATCTGATAATTTTGAAAAAGTGGTTTTAACCACTTTTTAGTTTTTGAAAAATTTATTTTTGAAAAAAATTCAAAAACTTGTAAAATTTTATGGATAAATATATTTTAAAATTAGTTTTTAATTTTATAGACAAACATGGCCTTAATCTTTCGTCCCGTAAACAAATTTTCCTTGCCAAAAGTTGCAACCCCACTTTCTCTTCGTCAATGAGAAAATAATTTTAATTTCTTCTACTATGATTGGTGTGATTATTCACTCAAAGTTTAATTCGTCAAATATAGTGTCCTTAATTAATAGTGTCGTAAATTAGTGTCCTAAAATCTAATTAAAAAAAGTCTTTCAACGCATGAGTAGGTGTAATTAACGACAAAGAGTTTGCTTCCGTCACTTCTCTTCCCGCGAAGCGACAACTAACATTTAAAAATGCACCTAATTTGCTCCCACTTTCACGCTCCTATCTACTTCGTGCTACCCACGCTCTCAAGGACTGCAACTCAACTCAACTCAACTCAATTACAAAGTTTATTAGTTAAAGATAATTAAGTACTAACAAAATACATTTCAAAAATTTACAACATTAGTTATTGATTTGATGCAAATATATAATACGAGTAAGTAAGTTTTTTTTTTGTTTTTCACCTGTGTCGAGTACACTTTGGGCTTAACTAATTCGAATTCGTGCCGAATAATTTCACTTTAGAGAGTTCTTTATCAAATATAATTTATTTTTCAGGACTCAAACCGAGACTCTGATTAAGAATGGAGGAATACTTGACACTCTAGTATAATCATTGGTAATAGTAAGTAATGTTGCTATTTAGCATTCGCTGGTAGGATTATTCCATGTCCTACAATCTGTGTTGCGCAGACTCTTCAAATATGCTGTTGTATCCGTATTGGATCTTCTAAAAATGCATTATTTTTGAAGGATCTGACACATACATGTTAACATTTTTGAAGAGTCCGAGAAAAATATAGCCAACCATTAAAATGTGTTTTGTATTTTATTTTGAACATTATCCTAAAATAATTGTCCAAAAACACCAAAGGCAATCTAAATTCTATCTGACTTAAGAGCGTGCGGCTATGGATATTCCCATGTTAGGACCCAATGGGCAATCACAAAGTTGAGTGAGAGTGACCTGGTGCGCATATTTCAACCCCCAAAAG